CTCGCAATGGCGTGACGTGCTCCCTTAAGTACCATGACTTTGTGGCTCTCAATTTAATCAAGCTGATAATGTAATGGTCAAGTCTTTTTAGTAAGACCGATGTTTGATATGTTACTTAAAAGCTAATATATCACTAACAATAATCTGCAAAATGAAATTGTTCATCCAACATTGAGGCTTTGTGTTCCATGATCTAATTACTAACTCTCCTTTCTTATCGAGTTTCCCAACCCCCCCTCCCTAAATCGAGCTTTCAATTGAGTCAGGTAATCAAAAAAGTATCCAGACCATTTAGTTATTGTCAGAACGGGGGCCCTCTATGTCTGTACCACAAGGGTGTGCTGAGATTCGCCACTTGTTATAAAATCTAAATTACATATGGTGTTGATTCTAAAACTAAAGTTGGCTGCTTCACTTAACAAAGTATTATAATAAAGTTCCGATATAACGCGCGCTCTCATTGGTTGAAAGAGCGTGCTCTATGAGAGTATAGAGCATAGAACTGAGCTAAAGCTGTCACGCCATCTGCCAAATTGTACCATGTTCGACCTTTTCCGGGACTTCTTTTTAGCTTTTTTCCGATAATTGAAAGTGAAATTTCGGAACAAGCGAGCCGGCAAGTAGTAACAGAAGAACCAAAGAAAGGTTTTTAAACATACCAGGCGCCGTTATTTACGTTATTAAAACGTGGGCAGATACGAAAATCCTCAAAGGAAAAACAAAATAGACATTCCGAGTTTTAAAGATTTTCACGCTCAGTTAGATTGCAAGCTTACGTACGGTAATGAAAATCAAACACAGCCAACACTCGTATAGTCTATAGAGTTCAGAGTTCAAAAACAAAACAGAACAAAACAGAAGTGATGAAAAAAATAACCAAACTGGTATAATTGTTAAAATTCATACTAATCATGACGGTGTCTGAGCAAATATGATCATGCTGAAGTCCATCGCGGCTCACTTATCATGCCGATCTCCGGTCATCACAGTAAAGCAAGCCTCAGAAACTACATCGGCCGCCCTTCGAGTGAAAAAATAAGAGCTCGCTCTGATATCCTTTCCAATGTGTTTGCGGCGCTGTCATCCCGAGCGATCTTCATGTTCCGGTGAATTCGGCTGTCGTTCATTTAAAAAACACTCGCCTTGAACAGTTTGTTTTCTACCTTGTCATGTGAAAAAACCCGCGTGTTTTTATGAGCCATAATTCGGCTGAAGTTCACTGAACATTTCACTCCAAGATTCTGATTTAAAAACTTCAGGCAAAAGCGTTAAATTCGACCTGCCGAATTATTTTAGTTTGTAAACTATCGCAGAGTGTGAACTTTGATGGTTTTTGAACTTTGATGGTTTGACACTTTTGACAGCTTTTGTCTTGTACAGCCAATCAGATTATTTGAACCATTCTAACAGGGATTCTGATTGGCTTGTTGTAGCGTGCTCTATGAGAGTATAGAGCATGCTGACGACACTGTTCTTCGCTTTGGAAATAAAGTTTGTTTTGAAAATTGAAAGTAATACACGGGGAATTTAACGGATTCTTTATTATAAAACAAATAGAGAAGCCTTAGGAAGCGGCTAGAGTCTCGTTTTTCTCCCTACACTTCTTTCGTGCTCTAGCCGCTTCCTGCGTGCTTTATAACAGAACAGAGCACAGTCAAGGCTACTCTATTTGTTAAATAGAGCGTTCAAAGTTAGAGTCGTGATGTGTATGATGTTTGATGAGCTGTGTTCCAAAGTGTACGTTACATACGATATTTTGACGCCTTTATGATCAGAGTTGCCCTCACACAGACCATTTATGAATTTGCTAATATATAAGCAATAATATGGAATGTTATCGAGGAGCTCATTTCTGCTCAGTTAAATCACCTTCATTATTCTTTCTTATTTCATAAGGATAAGAAAATAACTTGTGTTAGTAGTAAGAATTAGAGGGCATTTGACTCGGCACTCTTGCCATGTCAAGTCCAATTCGTTTCATTAATTAATTTTGAGCGACTGGATAAACGATCGAAATGCCTGTGTAAGTTTAATCCAACAGACATGCTTATTCCGTTCCAAAAAAACTCCCTGAGAGGTTTACGGATGTGAGATGCGATCGTTGTGTTTTACACCCGGCAAAGCCATTTTCGAAATTCTGGTGACGCTGTCAAAGTGATGGACGGGACGCTTGTCACCGAATCATGTTTGCCGGTGAGAAGACGAGGCACTGGTCGAACCGAAATCATGTTACCAATACGTTTGTTAGCGTTTGCAATTAAATTTTGGCATTTGCCACTAAGTGGTGACACTTGCCATCAGAATGCTGGCGCTTGCCGTTAAAGGTTGGCCCTTGGACTCTTGCCATTATTTGGAGTCGTATTGTCTCTTGAACTCATTGTTACTTGGTTCTACAATTTTAACAAGTGCGTTTTTTATGTATTTTTATTGTTCCGGTTCCGTTCCGGATGTTTCACGCAGAAGGTAGGAGAAATTTTCTACAGTCATTGGTTTGAACTTAAAAGATCCAAGGTCAACTCCTCAGCGAAGTGAATGAAAAAAAGCGATATTAAGTCTACTGACTGGTAGGTCCGATGTGCTACTTGTAATAACGTTTATGCGTATCCTTTAATAAATTCTGTTAAAATTGAAGAGGCGGTAAAAATCAACTCAGGTGGTGCGAAAGATATTTGCATTCTAAAGGACATATTTAAACGTTTATCAGTAATTAATAAGCGGAGTTTGTCAATATTATCATAACTTTTTAACTGTATTTTTCACCTCCCATTGCTTGTACTTAATGTTGACACTTGCCATTAGAATGCTGGGGCTCGCCGTTAAAGGTTGGCCCTCGGACTCTTGCCATTATTTGGAGTCGTATTTTCTCTTTATCTAATTGTTCCTTGGTTCTACAATTTTAACAAGTGCGTGTATAATGCATTTTCATTGTTCTGGTTGCGTTCCAGTGTTTTACGCAGAAGATAAAAGAAATTTTCTACAGTCGTTGGTTTGCGAGAAGCCTTACAAAACGGATCTTCTCTTTAAACTTTAAAGACTCGAGGTCAACTCCTCAGCGAAGTGAGTGAAAAAAGCGATATTAAGTCTACTGACTGGTAGGTCCGATGTGCGACTTGTGATATCATTTATGCGTATCTTTTAATAAATGCTGATAAAAATGAAGAGGCGGTAGAAGTCAAATCAGCTGGTGCGAAGGATATTTGCATTCTAAAGGGCCTATAGATACGTTTAACAATAATTAATAGGCGGAGTTTGTCAATATTATCATGATAACTCTTCAGCTGTATTTATCACTTCCCACTGCTTGTACTTAAGGGTAAAATAAAAGTCAGTTTAGATCGCCTGACCACTCAGTCATCAGCATGAATGTGTTTTGTATTTGCAGTACTTAACTGCTGGAGCGTACCGATTGAAAATGTGATTAATATACTTTACTTCTTTGAGAGGGTGGACAATTTTGTGGGAAGTTATTCACCCACGCACTTACAAACTAAACTTAGGAGAAATAGGAGTACTGAAAGTTCTTTCTATCAAAAACAGGTCGGACGAACCCTTGGTGTAAACTGCTGAGTCAATTTTCTGGAGATGAAATGCTTTTAAATACAGGTAAGCTGATGACATAATTTGCTTTTAGTCTTCAGACTAAGTGACTACATGTTGTTGCTTCAATGGCAACCGAAAAAGGTTTTGTGAGGATTTTTTAAAATTTACTTTCAATTTGCAAGAACCAATCATGGGAACGACGAGATATATGCTTTCAAACAAAATTTATTTGGACGTTAGGCCAAAATTATTCATTCCCGAGAATGAACAAAAATCTTTGTAGCAACTGTCAGTTTCTAGGACAGGTGCAATATCCTAGTATAGACTGAAAAAGAAAATGATTGTCTTTTTTAGGTAGTGGCTTTAGGTGATCATGACTATCTTGAGACTTAGGTTAAACTGAAAACAGTTTTCAGACTATATCCTCGTCCTCAATTGTGCGGGGGAGTGAAAGAAAGTAATGTCAATCAGAATCGGAATATGTTGCCAACGCTAATCTCCTTAAATGTTCCTGTTTTCCCTTTTGACTAAAGGCAGGAAGTGCTCGGTCTAGTTTGCTGGTAGGGTTCATTCTTTTTCAAGAGAAGAGGAACGGCGAGTATGATTTTGTTAACTCTGTACAGTATCTGATATATAAGTTATCTCCATTTGAGTTAATTTCGAGAATTCGTAAATTTAGTTTAAATGGAACGCGACTGAAGATTTCTCGCATAGCTAGTCAACAGTGTTAATCAAGCTTGGTGAACGTGATGGTTTTTCCGCTCAGAATCACAGAATTCAGGAGTAATTTTATCCAAATGCTCCATTTCCTCATATTTCCTTTCAATCATTCAGCGCCGAGGCTCAACCAGTAAACTTATCTTTAGAGACTTTATTCCTGTTCAGGTCATAATAGAGAGTCGCAAAGACCTCTCGTTCTCGAACTTCCGGGTCGTGTGCGTGCGCCTCTTCAAGTCTACCTAAACCATGACTAAAATTTGTATCTAAATATCTCACCTCACTAGCGATAATAAATAGCCGGTTTTGAAGCAGTCGAATATTATTTGAACAAATTGTGTACCATCACTTGAATAAAGTTATAAGGGTGCAAAGTGCCCTGTTGAGGAACTCCCTTTTAGGCAGACGTTTCAATTTTTTTTGTCTGTAACCCAAAAGTTTGGGTCTACGCTTATGAATTCAGGGATGCGGAGTTAAAGAGTTACAGTTTTTCTCTTTTTCCTCCTACTTTTAACTTCTCTCTTCTCTGGGTTACCTTTCCAACATAGGTTCACCCACTTCCTTGTAAACAACCGCAAAGTTGTTGTTTTATCTTTCGCGGTGAAGTAATACCAATTATGGCAATAACATGGTGATAAGGATGATGACTAAAGATTTTATTCTAATCTGATAAGTTTATAATTTTTATTTCAATCAGAGAAAGTGAGCCAGGAGAGGTCTTAAGGAAACAGTTGCTTACAAACATGGATTTCAACTCATGGAACATTTTTTGGAGTTCGGCTTTCGGACTGTTAGCGGTACTGATCGATATGGGAAACTTCTTCTCCATCTGGGTATTCAACCGACAGAGATCCCGCAAACGATCTTACTTTCTACTAATCAGTTTGGCTGTTGCTGATTTAATGGTCGGATTGTTCGCAATTCCACTTTTTATAACTCGGAGAAGCACGCGACATTCCCATTTGCGGTGGCTCGTGTCAACGTCTTTTGACGCTTTCACTGGTTTAACTTCCATCTATACACTAGCAGTCATTTCCTTGGAGAGAATGTTTGCCATCGTATGCCCCCTACGTCACAGAACTCTGACATTTCGTAATTACCTCTGTGCTATTGCCATGCCGTGGATCGTAGCTGCGGTTTTCGTTGCTGTTCTTATTCTTCACTTTAATGGGATCATAAAACATCCAAGTTACAAAGTTCTTCTCCTCTTGTTCCAGACCACGCCATTGCTAACCATGTGTGTCGCGTATTTCTGTATTTGGATCAAACGGAAATCTACGAAGGAAATCCGAAATCACAGAGCTGCAAGAGAATCAAAATTAGCCAACACATTATTTTTGGTTTCAGGAGCCTCTCTTATAACTTGGACTCCATATCAAATGATAAATAACTTGTCATACTTTGAAGGTTTGGGTTTTCGGATTTCTTTGACAATTTTCTACCTTAGCAAGATTTTGCAGTTCAGCAACTCGCTTGTGAACGTGGTAATTTATCCCCAAAGAATTCCAGAATTTAAGGCAATTCTCAAGAACATAATTCATTGTTGTAGGGCTGCATCTCAGACACCTACAACTGCACGCTCCCAACCAGCTGTTCCTTTGAACAGAATCGCTTAATTGCGATGCTGAACAGTAAATTTTACTCAGAGATGGGGAATTTGAATTCCCGTTATGTTGCCAATAGCAGAAAAAAGTGATCTATCTTATTGTTCTCTCCTAATTACAAGAATTTCAAAATCAAAGCAAATTTTCTATAGTTTGGAATATAGTGAATTTAGCCATGAAGGTGTATTTGCCTAATGAATCGACCTTAAACTTATTCTGGGTAGCTAGTTTCAAATGTGTTGTATAAATTAGGCAGATATCATGCCTCAATTGGGCAGTAGTAAGGCCTATTTTATTTCCATGCAATACAACTGAAAAATATTTTTGTCATGGATACAAGAAATTGTATGTGATAATCAAATTGATTGATTAATAAGTCAATTCAATATGTATTTTTCCCTTTCATTGTTGCATTATCATAGCAAAAGTCAAATTGTTTTGGCAATACTGTAACGTATTGTTATTGAAAAGCAAATAAACTTGCTTTTGTTGCTGGTGCACAGGTTGTTTGTGTTTCTTGAATGCCTTCTTCTCCAAATTTCCAAGTGCCTTTAAGATTATCTCTTATGCTTTTTTCGCTTTCTTTTCTTTCTTTTCAATGTAAGCTTTGGCGTGGTGCAACTAGCTTACAGTACATCAACTGTTCGTAATAGCTGCTACGATGAACGATTCATTCGACATGCTTAAGGATGCACCAAAGCTTTTTTAACAGCTGCCAACAAAAACTGAAAAAAAAATCAATTAATTAATCGAAGGCAAGCATGCTGTCCTCGGAAATGTTTCTCGATATGACTATTTAAGATTAGGCATCAAAAAAACCTAAGGATGTCAAATCAATGAACTCACCTTGAGGATGAGGCCCTTGGCCAGCCTGAAAGCTCTGATCTTCGGCGTAGTCATTGGTAATAGACAATTTAATTTTCTTCTCAAGGATGCGAGGAATAAGAGAGATGAAATTCTTTGAAACTTGATCGGAAACGGAAATCTGCCGGATATATGTTTTACTATATTTAGACTAAGGGAGTTTCCACGCCTTGTCTTGTAGCCATGGATTTGGTTGCTTTTCATCAATGATTTTATTCAATTCTTCGAGGGAAGATATATTTTTGAAATGAGAAAACGAACTGACCTAGCTGTATCAATCAATGCTGAACTTTGGCGGCTGAACTTTGATTAACAAAATTTAATAGTAATAAATATAAATTTTCCAACCTGGTGATATGTTGAAAGGAAGAAAGATCAAAGTACAACGTACGCTTTTTTCTATGCATTAAAATTGTCAGATCTAAAAATTTATGCAAGTTGCTGTAATCAAAAGATCAAAGTCGGAATACATCAAATATTTCACTTCGTCTTACTATTTTCAACACCTAACTTATCGTAAGTAACTTTGTGAGTATGCGGTGATCTTCGGCCTGATATCCAGCCCAGTAATTTAGATAGTTTAGTCTCATGATTTTGCCCCTTGTACTTCATCTTTAGGGATATTTTAATTCATCTCAGCAGATGTGAAAGTGTCTGACTTAGCCGTTTTGGTCTCGCTAAGTACCCCTGTCGGCTTTGGTGCATAATCTTGAACTAGTTTGAGAAAATTTGAAAAACCTGAATTTCATACTGATACAAATGAATATTGATGAGGATTGACAGTGTGCACTGGAAAGTTAGATCAAAGAGTCCAATCGCTCAGCACAAGTCTGATTTTAATTACAAGCCCGATTTCTCCTAAATTGTATCACTCCAAGATAGTTAAAAGCATGTTGATTGATGAGTTTATGGATAAAGTAATCAAATCGCGCCTCTCCTCCTTGGATCTCGTCGATAAAAACTCTGTATTTGTACTTGTTATTAAGGTCACAACTGACCCAGACTCAGCTCAGTGATGGTCGTATCCCAGCATCAAATATCAGTAAGATTATATTAGAAAAAAAAAAAAAGAATGAAGATTTCAATTAATTTATACAGGAGGGACTCTCCAGCATCACCATACATGGAATCACCATCCAACTACCGTGGATATTAATAGTTCTTCTCCTTGACTAGATGGTGTGAGAACCTCATACAAGTCGTGTCTTGCACAATTCAAATCGAAAGTAATTGTAGACAAATTGGCCTGCGGCAGAAATAATATTTTGCAGCATCTTTGGTTACGGCGATTGTGTCACGCCTTTCACGCTTCTATTATAGAGCAATAAATGGCAAAAAATTCCATAACAATACAGCACTCTCATTCAAAAGCATAGATGGTGTTGATTCTACATCACTCGTTTTTAGCCCGGTTTCCTTCACTGCCGTTGCTTATTTTCCTATATCTGATAGAGCATGTCAGAGCCTAAACAACAGCTGCCAGAGACTCATTCGATATTAATGAGCAAGCTGATATATTTTCTCTGAAAACGATACTATGTGCACAGCTCTATTCCCATGTTTCTCTTTTACCAATGTATGAGATCAGATAAAACTGTTGTGGGAAAAACTTTAAGACTAATGCAATTTTACTTTCAATGTTAACAAAGAAAACGGTCGCTAGCTCCTCTTAGTTGGCGTGCTCAAATCTCAGATTTCAAATCGGCGTACTGCAAACGACGCCTAAACTTTCCAATATTCTTAAAAATGCGTAAGAAAATCGCCAATATTCAGGACCCGTACTTCAGAAACTTTAAATGCGTTCCTCCCATTTTAATGACAGTATTGTTTTATTCTGTTCTCTCTCTCTCTCTCTCTCTCTCTCTCTCTCTCTCTCTCTCTCTCTCTCTTCAGATCACAGTATCTTTTATAACCAGACCGGGGAAGAAGTGGATACAAGATAAGCTCTGGTATATTGTTACTTTATCACTATTGGCTTATAACAATTTAGTGTCGGTGTTTGAAACGTTCAAGGGATATTCTGCGTTTTAATCAAGTATGGCTTCACGCATCTGATATATTTAGCATTTTAAGGTTATTCTTCGGTTGGTGTTGGGCAGATGTACTGCGTCACAGTCCACAAAATATGAGAAGTAAATTGTCTTTAAGGGAATACGAGTAAGTCAAAAATTAATGTCTAGATGTCGTCCCGGAATTTAAATATTAGTTTTACGTCTGAGATAGCAAAGGAAACGAAACAAGTTGAAGTGGGGGAGGGATTGGGGTTGGAAGCGGACCCCTATAACTTCTTGGTGTATGGGTGGGTGTCTGTGAAACGTGGACCGGATGACTGCGGAATAAGGATAGGAAAATTCGGATGAAAAAAATTCCGATAAAAAAGTGGAAAAAATATATATCTTAAAAAAATTTATTGAACGAAGAATAATAAATAAATTAGGTAAAAATTACTAATGGAACCAGAGTCAACTTATATCAGATGTTAACCATGGCCGACAGATGGCGAGCAAAAATTGTTGCTATCGTGAAAACAAAAATGCAACTCGTGCTACGAAAAATATCACCTTGGAAATGAACAAATTTACAGAAAATGGATGTCTGCCAAATTTTGAATTGAAATTTTAAGTTTTAGAAAATTTGAGGAAACCCCTCACACTCAAAAGTACGAGAAAACTTGTTTAAGAAAAAAACAAAATGGAAGAGAGCCAAACGACAGATCTTGCCGAGGAAAACCAAGCATCGCGAAAGAAAACCAAAGAGGTATCAATGCCGAAAAAAGTCAAGCGAAAAAACGGGTCAGAAAGTATAACAACAAGATTTGGAGGACGGATGGTGGAGAGCGAGATCCGCACAGAGCATTTATCGAGTACGTTGGCCATCGTCCGAATCGTCCGAAGGTGATAACGTTCCTAAAAACTTCAACCTGAGTCCAGTTGACAGCCCAAAATCCAATGCCTGGTACAAGATGATTCCAATTGTAAGAAATACATTGGCAAAGCAAATGCAGAATATTGCGTCCATTGCCTCCCTGGACGGCAAATTCTCAAATTCGAGTGGTCGCAAAACAGTCATCCAAGCGCTCCGTTATGATTTCGACCCACTGGAGATCTCAAAGCTAACTGGCCACGCCAATCCGGAATCCATATCCAGCTACAGCCATAATCTTCTGGAAAAACAGCGGCAACGACAACTACCAATGGCGATTCAACTCATGTTTTACGGGAGATTATTCTCAACAGCTCAGCCCGCCAAGCAATGCAACAGTTACGAGTAACCGTGACAGCCGTGCCAGTTACCTGAACATAGGGTTTTATTCAGAACCGGGCTCGTCTTGTCTTATGTGGGTCCCTTTTTCTCATTTATCTATCAATAATGGTGATGATTATTAGCAATTATTCATCGAGGCGGAAGTTAGAAGTGATGGATATTTACCTCAACGCATCGCGGCTAAATAATGGTATTTTCATTATTCGTCATTCGTTATTCATAATTCGTTTTTCATGATGTATAGTTTTTCATGACGTTAAGGAATAGACAAAACTGGCGCTGGCCCTGACTAGTATTGATTGGTTTTTGAAGTTTTTTAATTTTTTTCTGCTCCATATGAAAAAAAAACCCTTCCACGGTATCAGTTCACATTTTGTGTTATTTTACCTAAATCATATCATCTTGATGAATTCTAAGTTTAAATCACTTAACTCGTTATAATCGTCTCTGAAAGAAAATATCTAAAAGTTTGCACACAGGTTGATAGCTCTGTCCCTGTGGAGTCTGCAGATATCTTCTCTGACGGTACGTCCTTTACAATTTTTTTTTCCAGCAGGCGGCGTTCTTTTCATCATCCTGCAGCAGTATTCCTGACCAGTTTTCATTGGCTTTTGCTGCATTCTAGGAAATTCCATGAAACCTTTGTATTTCTTTCCCGAATATAGCAGTATCCAGGCCTTTGATTCACTTGCTCCGTAAAAAATGGCCTGCCATTTTCCTCCTTGGTGCACTTATATCAAAGAATAATTCATTCAATATAACAGATGATGAAAGGTTGACTAGCAACAAAGTAGGAACACAAGGGAAATGAGCCACTTACCCCATCAGATTGTCTCTGATAAATGTAGCTAAACTGCCGGTGAATTATAATAGTTTGTAATTGGAATGAATCTGCAAGTTCATAATAGGCTATCCCCCGGCATATTCTCCTAATATTTTTTATCGATTTTTCTAAGTAAATGAAGAAATTATGAAATGAAAGGAAAGCTGTATCTTTCCTGTCTTATTAAAAATTATTTTTCAATCATATCGGCTGATTTGGAGGGCAGTATGCTAGTCTTTGAGCAACTGCGTTACTCAAAAGCGATGAAAGATAAATCATATTTAAGAATGAATCAAGATACCCTAGGACTGTTGTAATGGACTGATATAACCGTGTAACATTTCTCGGTTAAGGAAAAGAGAGGCATTTAGCTTTCTTGCTTACTGAGTCTCGTCTACTTTTGTAGGATCGGGCATTGAAGCTGCTTTTGGCTGTATCGGGGTTGGCGCTGCTCGTTAGCCTCATCAGTCTTGGAGTTAGTGTGGCTGCACTTTACATGAAGAATGGGTAAGGTTTAGAAATTTTATTAATTCAAATCTGATATTTAGTCAGTTAAGCGGATCATTTGTCTCCTGCTCATTGATAATTGTAAAGGCACCTAACCAACAGCAACCTTAATGCAAGTTTTTTTCAGAATGCAAGCATAACTTTTTCTTTGAGTTTAAAAACATAGTTATATTATATTTCCCATCCGCGAAAATTGCTGGACCAGTATTTACAATTTTTGCGAACGCATTTCCTTCAAAACGGGTCCGCGATTTCCATAACATAACTTAACATAGTATGAAATCTCATCCTTTCAAATCTAGTATAAACCAGCATCGCGAGGGTGATGATTATTTGCTGTTTCCTTAAAGTATGAAATATTTCTATCTCAGACAGGGAATCGACACCGACAACGTCGCCACTAACAACGTCACCGACAAAGTCGCCACCAACAACGCCACCGACAACGCAAACAAGCATATTTGAAAAGCCTCATCTAGTGCAGACCAGCGCGAAATATCAACTATAGAACCTTGGACAAAGAAGTCACCTTATGTTGAAAAATGATGGTACCGTAGATTGCAATGGGAATTTTGGGGTCCCCGGGAGTAGGTAAATATATCTTTTTTCGGTAGCGCAACTATAAACTGCCCATATCTAATTTTATGATTGTGAGTAAGATCTTTGAAAGAGCTTTCGGAGTCAGTTAAAGTAAAGTACCAGTCAGCTTACAAATGCTTGCACTGAGACAGCTTTATCAAAAGTACAAATCGATATTCTCGATGCAGTAGATGAGAACAAGTTTGTTTGTTCCTCCTGTTGGCTATGTTCATAGGGGTAAGTTTCTAAAGAAACTGTGGTGCTGGGTCGGTGGGAGAGTATAGCAGGTAATTTAGTGTTAACAACTGGGTTGAAAACGTAAATTAGCCACCGTAAAGGGTAAAAAAGCTGGCGTTTCGAGCGTTAGCCCTTCGTCAGAGCGATAGCGTCAGAGCGATAGCGATCAATCGCTCTGACGAAGGGCTAACGCTCGAAACGTCAGCTTTTTTACCCTTTACGGTGGCTAATTTACGTTTTCAACCCAGTTGTTAACACTAAATTACCTGCTATATTCATAGGGTTCGACACAGTCGATACAAACTTTTCGTATTGATTGCGAAATCGTTTTGCATTTAGAGGGCAGTTGACAGGAGGTGATGATAGTGACCACGGTGAGATACCTAAGTTTACTTTGCTTTAGGCCCACAACAGTCACCCAAAAGTTTTCTTGGCACGCATATAAGCATGGGTGTACATGCTGCTTCCTGATTATTCCGGAACAAACTAGTTCTAATCAGAGAAAGCTTGCTCATCTTAAACAAACCATTTGCTGTACTTCGAGGAAATCAGGCAGAACGCTAGGAAACATAATTGTGAAAATCACCATGGTCAAACTATAGAATTTTCTTTGACCGTGAAACTCTTTAGTTTGCTTCTCCACCTCTCTGTTAACTTTTGCTGTCTAAAAAATTTCACATCTCATTGAAAGGTTCTCCAAAAACAGATTAAAAGCAAAATCAAATTTCTGAAAAACCAAAACAAAACAAATGGATAACGACAACAAATGCTACAGATCCGGTAGTCTATAAATCTATTTAGTAGGTCAGTGACGCTTCAGGTATCTGAGATTAGTTAAGAAATTTTGAAAGAAAAGCGGGTTATTATACGAATATTAAAACAAACCGTACCACTTGGAGAGTTCACCACCACTTAACCGGTTTATATAGAACCAAAATAATGATCAGCTCCCCGTTGGCTTGTTAGCTCAGTTGGTAGAGCGCTGCACTAGTTTCGCAGAAGTCTTGGGTTCAAATTCCGTCGGGCCTGAATTTTTTTCAGGCCTTATTTTTACCATTAGTTAAATGTACATATGATCTTAATATATTTACAGTCATTTGTAAACCGTACAATAGTTAACTGGCTGACGAGACGAGTCTAGAGGTTACATGATGTTTCTAGTTTGAATGGCTTCAAATTTTATCATCCGGAATAACGTCACCTGACCATTGTTGACGTTGAAGAAAATCCGGATAAGATTTCACTCGCTTCTCCTTTTTCTCGTCCATCCACAGCATAACGATAGCTGCTAGAAACGACTCCTTCTTCATTTAAGTTACATTTGATATGCCAGTATAGTAATTTCGTTCTATGCGTTCTTGTCTCTTCGTACGTACCTTTTTATTTATTTATTTATTTCTTTTTTAAGAGCTATTACCAGATTTTATAAGTATGAAGCTAAGCTTTGCACACACTGTTAGATCTGCTTCAACTTGTCTCCGTCGCTGTGTTTTTTAAGTAAATGTAGTTTTGGTCTCTTTTGTTTGAATCGTAGATACATTAATGTCTCATGATGACTCATCGATTGCTTGCTTGAACTGTGTGTCCCTTAGCATCAACAGTTTATCACTGGTAGGAGATGGAGCAAGAAGCACTGTCACAGCACAGGTAAGAAATGGATAATTACTTACTCAGGTTAATTAAGGCCTGGGTCACCCTGCCTTTAACCCATATTTTTCACAAAATTGAGAATAACTTAGCTATTTTGCGAGGGATTTTTCTTATACTTGGCAGAAATGTGTATCACTACCATCTCTCTCGGACTGAATTGTGGCAGCGTAATATGATACTCTCAACAGCCAAAAACAGTTAATTTAGGCGCCAAATTCGTCGGTTGCTTTCTTGAGCAAATTCCCACCACTAAACACAAGGCAAATCAAAATGCAGTTATCGCTATGAATATTTGAGACGTTTTTCATTGTTTTCCCACTTGGAATGGCTGCCAAAAAAAAGAGGAGATGTGCTAGGCAGATTAAATCAAGTTTTGTCTCTGCGAAGCTGCTTCCTCTATCATGGTTTTCGCCCGAAAACATCTTAGCCTTTACCTGGTTCCGACCGCTGTCAATGAAAGTAATCCTACAGGTTCCTATTTATTTGGAAAAAAGACAAATTAAAACTGTTTAAGAGGTGGGAATTTTGAAAACTCGCAGTCACGTATTCAACTTAGTGTCCGCCATTTTGACATGCGAGTGTTCAGAAGCAATTAAACTTACCTAACAACTGCTTTGGGGGATTACTTTTGTAAGTAAATTCATCTGCTTCTTTTTTGTTTCCAAAGCATTCAAAAGCCTAAATTTTGATAGACACCATAAGTATACACATCATGATATGATAAAGGATTTATCAAGCTAAATTTAATTTCAAAATCGAATGGTATATCCACAATGAAACTTTTTTCTACGCATTTGTTACAAAACATAATACTTTTTTCTCTGCATAAGTTACAAACATTGTAAAACGCTATTGAGGTCTAGAAATGAGCGCTATATTATAAATTCATGTTGCATTGTATTTGCAGTGAAGTCAATGAACATGTTGAGAGCGGTGTTTAGAAGTCTTCGTAGGTTCAAAAGGGTTCGCTTTGGCTTTAAGATAGCGATATCATGCCATTTTTGAGGAAATGAAGATAGCAAAAGAAAATGTTATTACCTTATTTTGATGTCATCCTCTAAATTGTCGGATTAACCAGCGAAGATGGGAAAAACCAATGCAAAGCCGACACTTCAAAATGG